ACTCCCCAGATGGCCGCAATGGCCGGAGCTGAGCCGATCCAAAGCCAGGAGCCAGGAGCTTCTTCCAGGTCTCCCACATGGGTGCAGGGGCCCAAGAACTTGGGCCATCTTCTACTGCTTTCCCAGGCCAAAGCAGAGAGCTGTATCGGAAGAGGAGCAGCCAAGACTAGAATTGGCGCCCATATGGGATGCCAGCACTTCAGGCCAAGGGCCTTAACCTGCTGTGCCACAGCGCTGGCTCCAGGTACTGTTTTAATAGGGAAAATGTTGTATATTTAGTACTTCACTGTAAATTCACTGTGACCATTAACCCAGAAGGTTGAAAGCCTTTTATCCCATTTACATGATGTAATTCCCATTTGACAATTTTTTAAATTTATACTGCCAGCTATTGGACTACTTCTATAGAGAAATCCACCATTTCTTTCAAAACAGTTGGAGGTAACTGGCCAAAAGCAATATATGGAGTAAATAATCTGGAAGTTTGGGAAGGTTAATTTTTTTTTTTTTTTTTTTTGTGATTAAAAGCAAGATTTATTAGAGTCAAGGACCTCCACCAGAGCGCCATGGAGGCAGGCTCCAAGAGAGGAAAAGGGAAGGGGCCACTGGTATTGGGGTTTTTAAGCACAGTTTTGGGGAAGAAAAAAAATGATATTCAGTTACAAGGTGAGGACAAAACCCATCAAAAGACCTGATTTGCAGTCTTATCCTTTCTGGCTTTTTCATGATAAAACAAAAAGAACCACCAGAAGGGTAGGATAGGTAAGTTGTTTCCACAATAAACCAGGAGCTCAGGGGGATGGGATCACTACAAAAGGTTAATTTTTATTTGTGACATATTTTCTCCCTGTGTTTAAGGCTAAGTTGCTAAAGTTTTCATTTCACTGCAGGAAGTTTTGTCAAAGCTTATATTTCTACTTTCTTTTTCTTTTTTAAAAATATTTATTTGAAAGAGTTACACAGAGAGGGGAGAGGTAGAGAGAGAGAGGTCTTCCATCCACTGGTTCACTCCCCTGTTGGCTGCAAGGGGAGCCTTGCAGCCCTGTTGGCTGTGCCAATCTGAAGACAGGAGCCAGGAGCTTCCCTCCAGGTCTCCCACCTGGGTACAGGGGCCCAAGGACTTGGGCCATCTTCTGCTTTCCCAGGCCATAGCAGAGAGCTGTACTTTGTCTTATTTTTTCCCTCTTGCATTTACTTGCTTATAACAGGATTGCAGTACAGTGGAAAACCTAGTAGAAAGCACTGACTAAATTTGACCCAAATAGTGAGTTGTTTGGTATCGTGGCCAGGAAAAGCACAGCTCCCTTTTCTTCCAAAGACTTTTGAATGGATAATCCTTACATGTATTTTGTATGTGATATAAAATTCAAGGGGTATAGAGCTGTGTACTAGTGTTCTTTCTTTTGCTTTTTTTCCTTCAGCTGGTAGTATTGTTTTCTTACTTTTCCATACATCTATAGGCAAACATATATATAAATATATTTTATTTATTTACACAAATGTTATATTGTACCATTTTTGTTCATAAATTTTGCTCATGAGAATTGCTGCATATCACTATAAAAAGATTTCCCATTCTCAGTTGCCACATTGTGTGGTCATATCATTGTCAGCTAACAGGAGTCCTGTTTGTGATTGTTGCTAGTATTTTGTGATTGATTTGAGCATATTTTAAGAGATTTTAACCATGACGCTAGTTACTTATTTAGGGAACAGAAATAAAATCTCATTCAATTCTTTTAATGAACCTGAAATTAAAGATAATCATTTGATTGATGTGTCATACTGGAAGTTATTGATATTGTCATGTTTTCTTTTTTTAAAGATTTATTTATTTATTTGGAAGACGGAGTTAGAGAGGAGACACAGGGAAAAAAGATTTTCTGTCCACTGGTTCACTCACCACATGGCTACAATGGCCAGGGCTGGGTGAGGCCGAAGCCAGGAGCCAAGAGCTTCTTCTGGATCTCCCATATAAGTGCAGGGGCCCAAGGACTTGGACCATCTGCTGCTGCTTTCTCAGGTGCATTAGCAGGGAGCTGGATCAGAAGTGGAGCAGCCAGGACTGGAACTGGAATCTATATTGGATGTAGGCACTGCAGCTTGTGGCTTAACATGAAGTGTCACAGTGCTGGCCCTTGTCATACTTTCTTACAAGGAAGAGCATATGTATTCATTTGCGCTATCCACATAACTTAATTTTTGAAGGAGTTTTTTGGTTATTTTAATAAATTTACTTTTCAGGGGCCGGCACTGTGGCATAGCAGGTAAAGCCACTGCCTGCAGTACCGGCATCCCATATAGGTGCCGTTTCAAGTCTTGGCTGCTCCACTTCCAGTCCCACTCTCTGCTATGGCCTGGGAAAGCAGGGGAAGATGGCCCAAGGCCTTGGGCCTCTGCACCCATGTGGGAGACCTGGAAGAATCTCCTGGCTCCTGGCTTCGGATTTGCACAGCTACGGCCGTTGTGGCCAATTGGGGAGTGAACCAGCAGATGAAAGCCTTCCTCCTCACTCTCTTACTCTCTCTGCCTTTGCCTTCAAATAAATTAAAAAAAAATTTACTTTTTATTTTGATGTTATATATTTGAAAAGGCCCAGTGTTGCCTCTTTCAAAAATTAGAGACATTTAATGCTTTGTATTTTATGGCTGATATTAATTTTGAGTATTTCTCAGATGTTTCAATTTTAAGGAAAAAATCTTTATTCCAGAATGTGTAACTTGATTCCCTACAGAAGAATAGACTCTCATTTTTATTGTTAGAAAATTTTGAGTTTATTCTTCATACCTGGGAGAATTTATATATATATATATATATATTTATATATACGAATATTTTGTTTCATGTTTGTGTTGCCAGCATGCTAAATTGTTAATGCTTTCAGTTTGTTGATTGAACTTTTACTCCCTCTGTTGGCTTTCAGAGGTGTTACACTGCTTTTTTACTTGTGTTAGGAAAAATATTTATGCTTATGTTCACTTAACTCAGATATTAGTAATGGTATAAATATGTTTATGAAATAGGTTCTTCAAGGGATTGTTTTGAATTAAGAATTCCTCCTTGAGCCCTGAATGTTCTGGCTTTCATGAATACATTAAGGAAACTCAGAATGCTTGTTTTGTCAGCAGCTGAGAACAAGGCTGTCTGAAAAACAAACAGGCATATGGAATATTTGTGTTTGTATTAAGCAAAAAGTGGGTTTGGTGTGTTAGATAAATGGAAGAATTTTTCAGATGTTTTCTAGTTTCTGTCTACCATAGATTGAACCATCAGGTAACTTGGTGGAATGAAGTGATGGAGAAGCCATATTGCACCTGAGTAGCATGCCATCTTCTAGATTAATGTGTTTTTTTTTTTTTTAGTTTATTTGGCAGGTAGAGTTATAGACAGTGAGAGAGAGACGGAGGAAAAAGGTCTTCCTTCTGTTGGTTCACTCCCCAAATGGCCACCACGGCCGGCTCTGCGCTGATCCAAAGCCAGGAGCCAGGTGCTTCTTCCTGGTCTCCCATGTGGGTGCAGGTTCCCAAGCACTTGGGCCATCCTCCACTGCCCTCCCGGGCCACAGCAGAGAGCCGGACTGGAAGAGGAGCAGCCGGGACTAGAACTCGGCACCGGCCCCTAGATTAATGTTTATTACCAAAGGACTTCGTGATAGTTACCTTATGTGATGTCACATGTGCGGTATGAGGTATTTACTTGCCTTGTACATTCTTAACGTTCTTTGAAAAACCTTTACCAGTTAATGAAGTTTGCACTATATAAGGCACAGATTTGTAGTTAAAGATTATGTCCTATTCCTTCATGATTATTTATCATTATATCACTTATAGTGGTAGTGGCAGTGTTAGGCTCTAAGTTTAGCAGAGAGGGTTTAAAATGTATGTATGGTGCTTTAAATTCCTTAAATCATTGATAGAGTATACCAGATTTTCTGGGGTCACAAAGTAGTTGGACTGTATTTAGTGGCCATTGTTTATGAAACAAAACACTGTGTAAACTCTGTATTCACATTCAGTATATTGAGAGGGGGGGTCATGGGAAGTAGGAAGGACCAAGGCAACAGCCGATGGTGGCTTTCCTTCCTAATGCCCGCTTACAGCCACTAGTGCTGAGGGGAATGGAGACAGGTTTGATACTTTGATTGCTTCTTTGCCAAATGCATGTAGTTGAAGATCTTTTTTTTTTTTTTTTTAGATTAATTTTATTTATTTCAGAAGGCAGAGTTACAGAGTGGGGAGGAGACATACACACACACACACACACAGAAGTCTTGCATCTGCTGGTTCACTCCCCAAATGTCTGCTATGGCTAGGGCTGGTCCAGGCCAAAGGCAGTAGCCAGGTGCTTCATCTTGGTCTCCCACTTAGGTGCAGGGACCCAAGGACTTCGGCTGTCCTCTGCAGCTTTTCCAGGCACATTAACAGGGAGCTGGATCAGAAGTGGAGCAGCTGAGAATCTAACTGGTACCATATGGAATGCTGGCATTGCGGTGACAGTCTAACCCACCATGCCACCGCCAACCTTCAAATCTTATTTATTTTAAAGGCAGAGGTGAGGGTAGAGGAGAGTGTCTGCATGTGAACTCCCATTTCCTGGGTCACTCCCCATTTTCCTGCAACTGCTAGGCCTGCACCAGGATCTGGGAACTCAGTTTGGGTCTCCCATGTGGGAGGCAGGACCTGATGCCACAAACCATTACTTGCTGCCTCCTGGGGTGCACACTAGTGGGAAGTTGGAATCGCGAGTGGAAGTAGGACTCAAATTTGAGCACTTTAACCGGGATTTAGGATCCCCATCTGGATACCACTGACTCACCATGCTGATAGGGTTTTTTTGATAATAAGTCCTTTGAATTTTACTGTTAATCAAACAGGAGATAATAGATACATATATTTTAAAAGCCTGTGTAATGGTAACTCTATGGCCATTTAGAAAAGTAAGAATGTTGTATCTATTAAATCTGTCATTTCTGTTGATTGATTTTGTCTGTTTTCATGCAGGTTGCATTCCTGTTGCATCTTTGATATCATTCCTAGACTTTGCTCCATGATTTAACTTGAAATTCTGAAATGAAGATGGAGGAGGCAGTAGGAAAAGTTGAAGAACTCATTGAGTCTGAAGTCCCACCAAAAATCTCTGAACAAGAGACGGCCAAGGAGGAAGATGGATCTGTAGAACTGGAATCTCAAGTTCCAAAAGATGGCGTAACGGATTCTACAGTTCTTTCTTCAATGCCCTGCTTGTTGATGGAACTGAGAAGGGACTCTTCTGAGTCTCAGTTAGCATCCACAGAGAGTGACAAGCCTACAGCCGGCCGTGTTTATGAGAGTGACTCCTCTAATCATTGCATGCTTTCCCCTTCCTCTAGTGGTCACCTGGCTGATTCAGATACATTGTCTTCTGCAGAGGAGAATGAACCCTCCCAGGCAGAAACGGCAGTAGAAGGAGACCCATCAGGAGTGTCTGGTGCCGCAGTTGGGCGCAAGTCTAGGCGGTCTCGTTCTGAAAGTGAAACATCTACCATGGCTGCCAAGAAAAACCGGCAATCCAGTGATAAACAGAATGGCCGAGTTGCCAAGGTTAAAGGTCATCGGAGCCAAAAGCACAAGGAGAGGATCAGACTACTGAGGCAGAAACGGGAGGCTGCTGCGAGGAAGAAGTACAACCTGCTGCAGGACAGTAGTACCAGTGACAGTGACCTGACTTGTGACTCAAGCACAAGCTCATCTGATGATGATGAAGAGGTTTCAGGGAGCAGCAAGACAATCACTGCAGAGATACCAGGTAGAGGATGTTTTTTAAACTGACTGTAAAGCACCTGATGACATTTCTCAGCTGTCAGCCTCAGTTAGATGAGTGACACTTGAAAAAGTACAGGCGACCTGCAGCTCTGTGTAAATTTGAAGACTGCAGTCTATTAAATAAAGACATGGCCAATTTTAAAAACCTGTTCTGAGGTTTCGAGTGCACTTTAGCACATTAGCAAAAAAAAAAAAAGGTTAATAATAGGGACAAGATTAATTTTAAGTAATGTTATTTCTCACAGGTCTCTCTCTGTAACACATTACCTGAACTCCCATCATTGCCTTTTAAGCACTGCTTAGATTTAATACTTACTGTTCTGCATTATTACTAAGTATGTTCTCAGGAATAGGCACCTTTATTATATAGCCATTGCACTCAAGTTTATGGTGTCTGAAATAAACATTCTTTTGTTAAAGTTTTGTAGTAACTGTTCCTCCTAAAAAAGGAATTTTATGTATTTTTGCCCTGATTTAGTGCATGATGAGCCAGGTAATCCTTGTTTCACATTTTCTGTCCTAGTTGTCACTCATATTGAAAAGAGTGGTTTTTTTTGTTTGTTTGGTTTTTTTTGGCAAAAATTCCCCAAGCTTTAAAAAGTTTGTTAGAAATTTTTTTGTTCTAGCTCTCATTGGTAAAAGGGATCTGTGATTTATCACATATTTGACATCTGCTTTCCTTATATTGTCACATTTGGTACTGTGTACTACAAAGGCAGGCTTGAAATTTCATAGAGGAAGAAAGATGATAATGAATGATTCTTAATTGGTATATTCTCTTTATTGAAAAAACTCTTAGGATTAGGTACATTTTGTAAACTACATGGCAATTCATACATCTTGGCAGCTTTGTGTATTGCTACCTTAAAGAGGGGGAAGTTTTGGTTTCTAAAGGTTTTTTAAGTGACTATATTTTCTCCCTGGTTTTCTGAAAGTTTTCTGTCTACACTTGAAGACAGCATATTGCTGATAAGTGAAAAATATTTGAAGAAAAATCATATTGGTTAATTAAGCCTTTAGCTAACTAAACTTACGTAAACCCAATTAACAAGAATGATCAGATTCGAAGCACTTTATAGGCATTCAAATAGTAAGTCTCATCCATATGGTATATTAGTTAAAAATTTTAAATAGCGTTTAGAAGTGCTTTTCACTGTTTTTCTCTCTATTAAAAAAGTTTGAACTGGATGTAAGTGAGGCTCATGAAAGAAGCAAATTTCAGGGTTGTTCTAAGACAGTTTCTTAGTATTTTTTAAAAAGTCCTGTTAGGGCATGTAATATGAATGTTCATGCATTCTTACATACTTTTCTATTTTATTAATCAAGATCATGATGGATCTCTTGAAACAGTACTTACTAAACAGGTTTTTATGTAGCCATCCCAGTGCTTTGCCTTTATGGAAAGGGAGAAGGTAGATGAACAAAATTCTCTTTGAAGATAAAACCCCCTAGTAGAGGTGGCATGAGAAATGTTCTTCGTAGACACTTTCCCTATTTGGCTTATATTACGTAGGTTAGGTATGTTTTGCTGCTTTGTTCAGATTTTCCTAACAATTTTTGCTAATTGACCACCTTGACCACTGTTTAAAACCAGTTGTCTCTCTCTTGTCTTTCTTAATTGTATACCAAACACCAAAGTAAATTAATATGAACCTATAATTAGTTTTATTGTTCATGTCATTTAGTGATTATGTGGTTTTTGAAAATATGTAGTTTTTAAGGTTAACCGTGAAAAATCCAGTGGTGGGTCAAGGTGCAGGGCCATTGTGTGTGACTGCTGTGCACTGCACAGGTTGGGGAGGTGCCTTTACATGAATGATCTTAGAATTTTGTGTAGTAGCAGAGATGAAACAGTCTACAGTTTAAATATTAGGAATTTCAGTTCAGCTGTTCATATTGTTAGCTCTGAAAAATTGTGACATTGTGCATTTTAATATAACAGTTATGTATACTTCAGTTTCCTGAGTTACATTATGACCTTGGGCATGTAACCTGATAGCAAGAGCGGTGAAAAGTTGTATAAATCTAAAAATAGGTTAAATGATGAACATGGGACAATTCAGGTGGACTTAAACTGGATGTACCTAATGGAAACTCTTGGGTGTTAAAATTTGAATCCAGCTGTTTACACAGAATGGAAACAAATTGTAAAAATAAAAACTGAGATTCTTACTATACTATTTCATCAAGGTACAACCAATTGAGTAATTCAGAAATGCTTTATTTGTAGACTTTTGTTTGACAACAGTTTAAAAGTTTGAGAAATCATCCTACCTGTTCTCCAAATAATTTAATAGTTAATGCATTTATTTCAAAGAGTACAAATACTGATACAGAATCATAATGCATGGTTATGCTTAGCAATTGAGTTTAATAGCTACACAACAGATGTTTATGGATTTTCTTTTTAAGTTAGCAATGATCTGAAAGGCAGCTTAGTATCACCAATATACTGTTCTCTCCATGAAGGTTTTGGAGATTTATCAAGATAATTGTTGCAGTAATTTCATTTGGGGACTTAAAGATGAGCAGATATATAGTATTTTATGGTAAATTTATAGTATTTTATAGTGAATTAATGTAAAAGTACTATGTGATTATTATCTTGAATATTCAAGACATTAAATATCTGAGTTATGTTTTGATTTTTATGTGTATGTTTTGCTCTTTGCAATTTTATGATTGGTTATTTTTCATGAAGGGGCTAGTTTCTCTATAAAATCACTTTTGAGACTAATTCTTTGGTCTGTTGGAAGGATTTTGATGTTATTTATTATGAGTATTGGCCATTAGACTTTATTTCAAGAAATTAATTACCTAAACACATCAAATACATATATCAGTGTATAAGGACAGTGGAGAAGTTTTTCTTGTAACTTTTTTCCATAGTATTGAGCATAGAATGAACCTGAGGGTAGTAGTTTCACCTTGTCTTGGCCATAATGGCCTGCTTTTGTGTGGTGTGATGATCCACTATGTAAATGCTTGTTCTGGTTGAAGCTCCAACCTTACCATCATGGTAGGTAAGAGTTGGCTATCTTGGCTGGTTTACATTTTTTAGGGAATGTCAGAGAGGCTATTGAACATAGTTGTTTAAAGATGATCAGAATTCATAATCCATGTGATCAGGCCAGACCAGTTCAGCCCCTCAGAATCTCTGCACCCATTACTTACCATTCATATTAAAGCACTGAAGTACATCTGACAAGCTCTCATTTTACCTCACTGTTTTTGTGGTAGAGGTTATTATACTTGACAAACCGACTCTTGCTTGGAAATGTAAAAGATGTTTTAAAGTAGTAGAGCTTTGTTAAAGTAGAAGAACATAAAGTAGATTAGAATCACCTGTAATTAAGCTTTTGTTAACTTTTAAAATTAACATTTCAGCATGTTGCCTTCCATAACATATAACAAAGTTTGTCACACCAGATATACATCAATCTTCCTTTTCCTCTTAATGTTTCATTTTAAAAAATGATTTGTTTGTTTATTTGAAAGGCAAAACAACAGGGAGGGACGGAGGGAGAGATCTTCTATATGCTGGCTCACTTCCCAAATACCTGCAACATTCAGGGCTGAGCCAGGCTGAAACCAAGAGCCTGTCTCCTGCCTGCATGGGTGGCCAGGACCCAAGTATTTGGGCTGTCATCTGCTGCCTCCCAAGCACATTAAGAAGAAGTAGAATTGGAGACGGAGTCAGGATTCAATTCCAGGCATTCTCTTAAGGAATGCAGGTGTCCTAAGCGCCAGCATAACCCACTACACACAGTGCGTACTCCTTAATATGGCATTTTCAGCATGTAACCAAAATGCAGTAGTCTCCCTAGAGTGTATGAATTTTGGATTATTTTTAGCTAACTATAAAAAATAAGTTCCCTAATGTTCTTTTTGGCTGTTTTTAGTGTTTGCTATTATGAGGGTGTGAACATTTAAGGCTCTTCATCACATCCAGCCGTGCTGCTTTAAAAAAATATTTATTCTGTCCAGGAATTTTAATGTGCATGCATTATATTCTGGGGTTTTCATTTTGTTTTATGACAGTCTTACTGATTGGATGGGAGAATTGTGTCTAGATTAATTTGCATTTCTTGCTCACTAATGAAGCTGAGAAGTCCTGTTTGGCAAATTTGTGATTTTGTTTTTTTTTTTTTTTTGGTAAACAGTCTGTTCATGTTCTTTGCACATTTTTCCTTCTTAATTTGTGATAAGTAACCTGTTGGTGTTTTAACTATTTGGAAACTTTTTAATGTTAAGTTAGGCACTGGGGGCTAATGGTAGAAGACCTCTAGACCACATGAGGAATCCCATGAAGCACAGTAGTTGACCTTTTTCCTAGACTGAATATGTAATGACTCAATGGCTAACAGCCCCATGTGCTTATTAGAAACCTTTTGTAATCTGGTTGTGTTTTTGTAGCTATTTAAAAAACTTAGTAACCACATTAATGATAAAATGTTGAGATGGAGTAATCAGGTAAAAACTGTCTATTTTTAGCCTAATGAATGCAAACTAGACAGGTAAAGTCCAGTTTATAATTTGGCTTTATGTGAGAATAATCTAGGAAGCATTTAAAATGTCTGTTCTGCCATACTGCAGCCCTTAAATTAAGTGCACATCTTTGGGGTGTGAGCTGTGGAATCTTTCTAGAGCTGCCTTGGTTTTGACAATGAGCAGCCAGTGCTGTGAACTACCCAGGTAAGCAGTGATGTGTTAAGTCTCTCATGGTTAAAAACCTGTGTGAAACTGGAGTTTATAAGTTATCACTGACAAGTTCTGTTACTGTGAATCAGTATCAAGTTCTAAAAAGTAGAGTTTAGTTTCTTTAAGTCATATTAGTTATAAACTATGGCATTCAATATTAACAAGCATGAGCACCTTCTACTTCATTTAAGTGATTATTTGACAAGCATGCATTGTTTAAATCTGGTTTTCTGAATGTTATAACACCTGGATCTGAAATTTACAAGCTGTGAAGTCTTATTG